TTTTTTTTTTTTTTTTTTTTTTTTTTTATACGATAGTAAGTTAATACTCTTGGAAATGATTTCAGACCGACATGATTTTGAAATCTCCGAAATCTCTTCACCTATAAAAAAATCATTACTGCTATATTGTGATCTCTTTTATACCGTATAACTTTTATTAATAAAGTCTATCCATGCTTCAAACTAAAAAGCGCCAAAATATTCTTCATTCTAAAACCAAAATTTTTGTGACTGTCGCATTTCACGGGATTGAGAACGCGCGTTAAATCCACTAAAAGACAAATGAATACTTTTTCGTTTAAAGTCTTTGCAATGCAGACATTTGGACATTTTCTGAATAGTTTTGAACACATGGTAAATTGCACGCGTGTCCCAGCTAACATGTGTGAATTGCACCAGTAAAGGAAAATCTATCTAGAACTGCAGGACGAACCATCTCGTGGAAAAAAACGCGATCGTCGAAAGGATGAAATTGCGTGAAACGAAGAGAAACGGAAACTGAAGTTACAGAGCAAGCGATAAAAAGATGGTCAGCTGATCCCAATGGTACGTTACTAACTGAGTTATTCCATTTTTCTCTGTCTCGTGTATTGCCCAACTGTAAATGTATTCACACGACGAAGCGATTTTCCACGAGAAACGTACACGTATGCTCATTCTACACTCGATCTTTCGCATAAATCGCCCAGCTAACGTTTCCTTCAGATCTCTTGGAAAACTATACATATAATTTCCTGATAATACGATTTTTGCGCATATTTTAATGTTCAGTAATTTGTTTGACGACAATCGCGATGGTAGAGTGAGATGTTGCCCATGTTATCTGAATATTAAATTCGTCTACATACAGAATTGATAAACGAGATATCTCGCGTTACATGCGTAGGGTTCGTCAAAAGGAAGAGTGTTCGTTGCAAGTGTGAGTGATCGTAAATTAACTTTCCATACGAAAGAATGTCTGCAGCTTTAGCCTGAGCGAACGAGAAAGAGTGCTGGAGACAGAGTGGATAACTTAAGGTGCCTAGACGCAGCTGATTGCGGGTAGTATGAGAGAGAGAGGGTGTGAGGGGGGAAGAACGAATGTTTGAGGATTTGAAAGAAAAGAGAGTGAATTTTTGAGCCCGGCGATTGGATGATGGATGAGATCTGAGAAGATAATGTCATGAGTATTCTAGCGAGAAAACAGTTTTTTAAATAAACCTAATGCTCTCCTACACATACATCTTAGTTTTTAGTATCTGGAAATGTAGTGAGATATTCGAAAGTTTTAAACATCTGAAAGATTCGATGTTTTCTTTTATTTATGTATGTTTAAGACTGTTGTGAAAAAGTTATAATAAAATTGGCAACTTGAACAATTTCATTTTATTTCGAGAGTTATTACTCTATTAGGAATAGGTTAGTATTGATCCGTAAACATGAATGAAAAGTCTCCCTGCGATACACCGTGGTTTTCTTGTTCGTGAAAAAATTCAATTTCTCTGAAAAATTGAAAATGCGTACGGTGTAATAGACGGGGATTATACCGGAAGCTGAATTTTAAACAGAGTGAAACTTTGGCGAGGTAGTGCGCGTGATAAGTTGGCGAAAGTGGATCGTCGAATAGCACGTTGTACGTCTTTCTGATGTTCCTCTCTGACGAGAACACCGATCTTCTTATTGTATAGTTTGCTGTTTGCTCAATATTAGAACGGTTCCCGAGTAACAACGTGGAAAAAAGAAACGTAGATGTTACAGGGATGAAACGATGGAGTAACGCGTTTTCGCGAAGCATTGTTTCATAATGGAATGCGAAACTCTTTACAAGTTCTTCCGAATTTGGGTCGAGAACGGAAGTTGCTCGGTCTAAAAGTCAATTAGTTGGTGAAATCTTTCTTCAGTTATAAGGACTCGAGCGATGATGTCCAAATCGTCTGATTTTGACAAAACAAACCGAAGATATCAATGGAAAACTTATATTTGCGAAACTTGAATCAACAAAATTGTTTTGCTTCGTTCGATAGATAATTGACCATCGTTTTTTGAACGTTTCTGTGTTTTATGTCACTTTTGTGGTTAGAATCGTTGGTTATTGGTGGAATCGAAAAAATATCGCCGATGTCAAAAGTATTTAGGATAATAAGGATAAAATCTCCCTCTAGTTTAATCAAGCGTTATCAAAGCCAGATTCAAAACAATCCCGACAATTGGAAAATCAAGTTAAGAAATTTTTGTTCAATCCTGGTCTGGATTTAATAAATACGAACTTTATACTCATGATTTGTTCGATGATGAGGAACCAGTGATAAAAGAGGCGCTGCGCCGACAACCAAAAGAGCTGCTAGATGGGAGAAATTTCCGGTATTCGCAGAAATACGTTTCTCTTATGTTAAGGCTTTTCGCATATTTGCGAAAGTGTGTATAAACCTATAACTAGCCACGATGGAATTTCCAGATGCATACGGGTCAATTGGACTTCCTGAAGATACATCTGCCGAAAGAGAAATGGATCACATATGAGCAGGATATAGAATATCGATACTTGGATCCGTTCATAGAAGAAATCACGGCAGAGAGAATGGAAATTTATAAATTTGGTTGCACTAATTATTCTGATATAGATTGGCCTTATTTTGAAATAAAATAGGACCCATTTGTCTCTTGCTTATTCGTTCCTTTGAATATGCACAGTGTGAATAAGAAAAAGGACATGTAATAATAGAACGATTTTCTTCTTTGTGTGAATCGTCGTAAGCATTAAAGACCAAGGACTGTGAAAACTGGTGAATATATTATCTTGGCGCACTCGAAATTCTATCTATTCGACTGAAGAGAACGAAAGAATTCCTCGTTCTCCTTCGAATCGAGTATCTTGATTTGCATTTGGGAGGGAAGTCTGGAGGAAAGTTGGAGGAGACGATAAAAGTGGATGGCGTTAAGGCACGGTTGCGATGTTGGTTCTTGATGATAACTTCGTTATCTCACAGCCTTAATTATGGACCACATATTCAAGTGACTGCCCCGGCAAGGACGTCGCTCGAGATATTTGAAAGTTGCTTCTTCAAGTGCATCACGCGTTGCGGTGGCAGCCGCCGCCAGCTTCAAGGAGCCTCTTAAAGCTCCACCCTGACCTAGACAGGATTCGCCCTCGCCCTCGGTCATATTCAGAACACTCCGCATTGGCAATCCCTCTGACGCTTTTTCTCGTTGCACGTCTTTATAAACAGGTATTCCGCGTACTATCATTGCGTTACGACTGGAATATTTTCGGCATGGCAAAACCATTTAATTAATACCAGACACAACACTCGTGATTTTCACGACCACGTACCGAACGTACGTGCTAGTTTCACGAATCTGTACGAAAGATCGATACTCATTT